GGCAATACAGCATTGGTGGTTTTTTCCTCCGACTCAGGTTGCTACTTGGATATCCGTTTTGGCAAAGCCCTCCCTTTCGGCTCTCTGGTTGGACGTTAGCCGTCTTTTCCGGATTGTAGTCCATCTGCCCTTTTGATTACCCACCGTTTTGATTGTAGTCAGTCTGCTGTTTTGATTGTAGTCTGGGTGCCTTTCGGATTGTAGTCGGGCCACCATTTTATCCTATCCTGCTCATCCTGACAAATTTAAAGTCAGGAAATCAGCATTTGGAGGACTCTTGCATTCATATTAAGAAGAGCAATCTGTTTTTCTTTTCTCTCTCAAATCCTAACTACTGGGAATTTGAATAGATCAGGTTAAGGAAGATGGGGTTGGACGGTGTAATGGAAAAGCTACCAAAATTAAATGATCAGCAAATAGGAAGAATGTACTAGTTATCTTACTGCCCAGGATCTTTTGTTTAGTGCTTTTACTTATTTCTAAATTTTCTCTTATGGCGTTTGACTCAATAAATTCTTTTTTTTTTTTTGAGATTTTATTTATTTATCTTTAGAGGCGAAGGGGAGGGAAAGGGAAGGAGAGAGGGAGAGAAACATCAATGTATGGTTGCCTTTCGTGAGTGCCCTGCTGGGAACTGGCCTGCAGGGAACCAGCCTGCAACCCTGGTATGTGCCCTGACTCTGTATCGAACCGCGATTGTCTGGTTCACAGGCCCACGCTCAATCCACTGAGCTACATGACTCAATAAATTCTTAGGAATTTCATGTAATGATCCAAGATTGATAAGAAAGTACCAAAATATAAAGTAACATCGAAGACTCCAGCCTGTCACCCCATTTCTGTTTAGATAAATGGGGTTTCTTCATTACAGTATTTGGGATAGACTTAAGCAGGCAAACATGAAGTTTCAAGTACAAACTAATTTTTATAAGATATCAGTGGTACAGCAAAAGTCAAGTATGTTTATATTGAACTAGAAAATTAAAAAGAACTCCCATACGTGAGGATGTACATTCAGATATTTAACTCGTAGTGTGTATAAGGTTTGGGAGAAATCTGGTCTTTACTATGTTGATTCCCGTCTCCTCTTCAAGGTTGGCCTGTGGCTTCCTCATGAGTGGGAGCATTGTCCTCTGCTTCCCAAGACATTCTTTGGAGTGTGAATGGCATCTTGCACCAGGTCTTGTGCAAGCACAGTCCCATTTTGATTTAAAATGTGTAGACACAGAAAGTCCAGGTGATTCATGTGGCTTTTATTAGTAATTGTAAAGCGAGTTTGGAGCAGATAGCATGAGGGTAAGGTAAAAAGAATGGAAGTTTAAGGTTTTTTTGTGGGCTGTGATTCAGGGACAGAACAGTGGAGGAGCCCAGAGGTCCCAACCCTGCTGCTGACTAATGTAGCCTTTGTTTGTGGTCCCATGAAAGTGGGAGTGGCCAACTCTGTTGTGGATGAATCAGGAAGATACTGGTAAGTCGCTACACATGCATCTAGTGCTGGAATAAGATCTCACTATTTTGATCTTCATACATTTGGGGATACCATATTATGCCATGTACGATGCATACCTTTTTTTTGCCTAAACTTTTGGGGGAAAAATAAGAATGCCCAATATACATGAGTATAATGATGGGTGTAATAGTCCGGTGTATAATGCTCACAAAATGTGAATACGCATTATACAAGGCAAATGATAAAGTTTATCTTTACATAGCTCACTGTTTAGTCATTAGTTAAGTTAATGGAGTTTTAATATTGCAGGAGGCTATCTTGCATATTATTAGTAGATTTTAAGTCATCGAGATTAATTTATTGAAGCTAACTCTGTTCTTTAACATAATTAATAATTTTTTCGAACTACAGTATTCCATTTTTCAGAACTTTTACATGCAATTTGTAGCTGGATTGTTTATTTTGGTAAGTTTCTTCTCAATAGCCATCTGTTTTCCTTGAGTTCTGAGGGGCTCCATGGACAATGTGGGAGGAGGTCATGGTTATCTAGGGCTTTGGCCTTCAGGCTTAAAGAAGTCCCCTCAACAAATATCCTTGCCTTATCTGGTGCTATTGAAAACATTTCAACGGAAGAGTTAATTTATTAAAAATCTTTTGAGAAACTTGCTTAGGGTGTTCCTGACAGAATTTGTTAAGAAAATTATCTCACTCATATTTTTGTACTTTTTATTTTATGACATTTGCTTCTTGCCTCATTGTGCATAATATCAGAATTCTGTAAGGATGCTTATTGAAAATAATGAGTAGAATACATACATGATTTGTAGCAAAGAAATATTTTTTTGCTTCAATCATTGTCTTTTTTTGGAGTAAATTAGTAAAACTTTTTAAAAAAAATTCTAAATATATTTTATTGATTATGCTATTATAGTTGTCCCATTGTTCATAGAGTTTGCATTGAATCTGAAATCAAATTGGGGAATATTTCCATTTTTAAATTAATTTTTTGAACCTGTGAATAGGAATATCTTCCATTTATTTTCTTCATCAATGTCTTTTTACAATATTTTATAGTTTTCAGTTTACAAGTTGTGTATTCTTTTGTTAAATTTATACTTATTTTTTGATCCTATTATAAATGGAATTGCTTTTATTTATTCAGGGCTTTTTTGCTCATGTATAGATATATAACTAATTTTTATAGTTCTGAAATCTTGCTGAAGTCACTTATAGTTCTAATATTTTTTTAGTTGATTCCTTAGGACTTTTTACATGAAGTCATGCATCACATACTAACGTTTTGGTTATCAATAGATCTCATGAGATTATAATGGATTGTAAGCAAGAATTTGTTAGCGATGTTGAAGGAAAAGGCTGGACCTGACAGCAAGTTGAGTTTACTGTTAGCTCTAGATGATTTAAATTAGATGAGGAAGTTCAACATCTATTTAAAACATCTAGTTTTTCCTTACAATCCTTTTGATTTACATAAGATCATTATTAATGTAACCTCTCTCATTCTGATTTTAGTAATTTAAATTTTATCTTTTTTTTGTTTGTCTAGCTAAAAGTATGTCATGTTTTTTTATCTTATTGGCTACACTTTAAATTGCAAGGGTTAACTTTTTAATATTGAACTTCAACCAGCCCTGGGGTATTGCTAGTTGTGAGATGCAAGGCAGCCTCGGCAGTGCTTATGTCTTGTGCAGTTGTATGTTAATGAACACATCAAGGCTAAGCTGTTCATTTGCATAGATGTTTAAAGTATTACTGGCAGTTAGTTGTGATAAATTGTATTTACATGCTACAAAATGAGTGTGATGTTATTGAATTTAGTAGGTAAGTACCTGTGTTAAGGACAAAAATATCATCTGACTAGAAGCAAATGGATATGAGGAAGTGTTTTTTGTTTTTTTATATATAAAAGAGAAAGGGAAATGAGTTAAGTTTGAGACCTATGTCACTGTTGTCATAAAACTTTCTAAAAGAAGTAATGTATGGGTCAAAAACTAATATTCATCGTACTCAAATATTTGAGGTTCCTCTGTAATTCAGAGACTGCTTATGCAGTTGGAACAAGCACATTGGAGTCTGCTGTGGGCCAGGTACTGTCTGGACCAGCTATTTTCAACCCTTTTCCTCCCATGGCACACATACACTAATTATTAAAATGCTGTGACACACCAAAAATGTGTTTTTTGGTGATTTGAGAAAAAACAGGTATAATTTTGATTGATTCACACAGATGGCTATTGTTGTGTTAGCTGTTGTTATTTTTTTTAGTTGACAGTCTGAGGGGAAAGAGGTCAGGACCCCTGACTGAATAGTTAGGTATTTGCATGTTTTTAAAATTCTTGCGGTCATAGCGCACTGGTTGAAAATTGCTCACCTAGACAGTGGAGAATAAGGCTCACAATTTTTGTCATAAGGGGAGAAATATCTACAAATAAAAATACAATATAAAGTGTTTAATGCTGTGGCAAAGATAAGTATAGATACAATGAATTTTAAGTAAGATACACTTGGTCCATTGTGAGCAGGAAGGAATAAGTAAGGGAGTCTTTTTCTCAAGGATATGAAGTGTCTTAGTTGACTCAAAGGATGAGTGAGAGAGAAGTTGAAAAGGGCTGGGTGAGTAGTAGGGAAAGTGTTCAAGGTTGAGGGACTTGCAAAAGTATGGGTATGAGAAGCAGCAAGCATGTAAGTGTTCCAGTATTCTGCAAAACTCTTGGGTTGACTGGAGCATAAGATTGGAAGCGACCAGGGAATTAATAGGAATAGAGGGAGAAGATGAATTAAAAAAATGTTCAGTAGATTAAAACTCAGCAGAACCTGGGGACACAGTATAGAGTGTGATGTAAAGGGATGAAATGATATTAATTCCTGCCTGGTCTTTGGTTCAGGCAGAGTCAGGGCAACATTAGCCCCCACATGTCATTGTTTGAATTAGGAATAGATGCATTTTCTTCCTGGCAGATGTAATAACCCTCTAGCAGGGGAAATGGCATGTGTGCAGAGCCCAGGGTGGATTTCAACTTCCGTTTGCCCCTTAGCTTGATGCTCTCGTGTAGTGCACAGTATGAACAATTGTAAGGGGCAGGTACAGGTAGATGAGTGGCCAGCAGTGTTGTTAGTGCAGTCAGGAAGAGAGGGTAGAATTGGGAGGCAGTGAGAGGGGAAATGAGGAACTGAGTTTTGAATATATTCAGTTTATAACATTTAGGGTCCTTTCTTCAGGTGGAAATATCAGGGAAGAAGTTGGATAATATGATTCTAAAACATTTGGGACTGTAAATGGTTTAGTTCTATTGAACTTTTTAAAAATTACATGTCTATTGTCATTAAAATTATTCAAAGTGAATGATACTTTGAATTATAACTCAAATGATACTTGAATAGTATTAGTGGTTGGTTTTCCAAATGGTTAGCCTGCTTTACCAGAAAACTCATTCCAAATAATTTTTCGAAGACTGTCTACCACTGTTTATTAATGTACTTCAGAATGGTCTTGATAAATTTGATTGGTAAAAAATTATTTTCTCTGTTCCAGATTGCTGGGCTATGTCTTGTATGACTAAGACCTCTTACCAAGATTACCTTTGCTTTGACACTTGAGGATAGTCAGACCATGTGAGTATAGGTTCTGTACAGGCAGATTGCAGTGAATCTAATTGGTTAGATCAGCTAAGTAAAAACCCATAAATTTTGTGACAGATTACACCAAAAGAAATAATACCTATTTTCTTTGTGATACAAATTCTAGATGAGGTAGCAAACTCATCTCTTTCCCCCATTAATTTAATATTACACTAGGGGCTATAAAATCAACACTGAAATTTTTATGTCAACTCGTTTATCAAGGTATTTATGGTAGCCAATTATAAGAATTGTAATCGAAAGCACGTTTTTATTTTTGGTTTTATTTTTGTACTTCTAAAAGAACAAAAAACCTCTGAACTTTTTATGTGGCACTATTTTGCAGAAAAACACTGCTGAGGAATGCTAACACAGCAATGAAACAGCCCAACAGGAAAAGGAAGTTCAGTATGGATTCCAAGGACCATCAGAATCAGGACCGGTGCTTGGTAAGACATCAGTTCCTGAACCCTTCCTTGTAGTTTGTGCTCAGGGTGGTAAGTCACATGGTAATTGTATAGTTATTGCAAGTACAGTGGAGGTGTTTCATCAGTCAGTCGGAACTGATTCGTTCTTTAGAACTGCTTGGGTTCTATGTATACTGGCATAGAATATAAGTGTTATAGTCTGGTGTATTTTAAAAGTTAAAGGAGACCTTTTGTTTTAGTAAGATGGAAGTAATTGATCATTGTCAAGTAAGGGAAAGAGATTGTGAACTACAGAGGGTTGTATTTATCAGGGTTCTCCAGGGAAACAGAACTAGTAGGAGTAGTTGGCAGTCCTGTCAGATTTGCTATTCACAGTTTCTGCTCCTACTTGATAATGATGAATTATATGTATGTGTCTGTGTGTATAGATATTTATGGAGAAGAGAGAGAGATTGAGATCTGTTTCCATGAATTGACTCATGAAATTGTGGGGGCTGGCAAGTCCGAAATGTACAGTGCAGGCAGGCAGGGTGGAAACCCAGACAAGAGTTGATGTTGCCATCTTCATTCCAGAGGCCGTCTGGAGGCAGAGTTCCCTCTTCCTCAGGTGAAATCAGTCTTTTATCTCATAAGGCCTTTAACCGACTGGATGAGGCCTATCCACATTATGGAGGGTAACCTGCTTTACTCAGTCTAGTGTTTAAATGTTAATTGTATCTAAAAAACACCTAACGGGCATCTTGACAGCTAGAGGGTATAGTGTAGATCATGCCTTTAGTTAGCTGTGTTGTTTCCTTGTGACAGCTTTTTGTAATCCTACATATTTCAAGGTGGGCAGAAGTGAGCAGGAGAACTCGGTGGTGACTGTGTTCAGATTAGTGGGCCATTAGAGCCTTCTCATTGTGTCATGGGCTCTCATTATTCACTGAGCGTGGGTGTGGGGGACTTCATGTGGATCTTGGTTATGCATTCATACATTGCCGTTGGTGAAGTGATACAGTGTTATAAATTCTTTAGTTCAATGCCAGGTTAGGTGTGGTTTGTTGAACTCCACACATTAAATGAGACATGTCAAGTGATGATATGATCTATGTTTGGTTTTAAAGTGTTAAATATAGGTCTGTATCAAGCTATAGAGCTGTTTTTCTTCCCACCCTCCTCAGGATCAGCCTCCCTCGGAGGTGGGGTGGTTAATTTAGGGCTGAGGTCCAGTTATCCTTGGGGTCCCGATTGGTTTAATCTGCTAGACCGGTTCCATGAGAGTGTAGTGCTCTAAGTGTGTCCTGGAGAGCTTACTCTCTATGATGTTGCTTGGACCAGATGTTGGGAGGCTACACCTGTCTCAGGTTTGTGAGGATGCCATTCTTTTCAGTACTTTGGGTTTTCTGTGTTGTACCCTGTGAAGAGACAATATCTGATGTGTTCTGAGTTATTTTTAGATAGTTAATTCTCCAGCAGTGGTCTTCGAACCAGTAGCATCAGCATCACTTGGGGGTTTGTTAGAAATGCAAATCCTCGCTCCAGACTGGATGAATCAGATACTCTGGGGGTGGAGTGCACCAAGCTCTCCAGGTGATTCTGGGACGTGCTCTCGTTTGAGAACACTGTCCTAGGGAAATAGCTAGACACATCTCACCTACTAATTGGGCTGTAGTTATAAGTAATAATGGCTGTTGCATATTTATTAATTTTTTTAGTTTAATATTTGAGACCACTTCTTTGTTTCAACATATTTTCTTCCTTTCCTTAGTATTATTTCTCTTTAAATTATTACTGCCCCTTCACAGCACTTCAGTTGTTTTGCCTTACAACATGGATATTAACCTGTTGTCTCTTTTGTATTGGCACAAATCCAAATTTTCTCTTACAACCCAGCTCAGTTTCTGACTCAATGCTGATGCTTTTATCATTATTTCCATCCCACTTGGGATTTTCCCGTGTTGAACTCCAGAACTGCTCAACACTTACTCAGGCACTGTTTCAGCTTGGTGCCTTGCATAGCTGGATTTCTAAAACTATCTATTGAATGATATTCTCATTGTTAATGGCGTCTTCATGCAAATGGGCTTATTTGATCAATAGTAAGAAAATGACTTAAAGGACCATATTACTAATTTGAGTTTTGAGATCTTTGGAGCATATAATTATTCTAAAGGATATCCACAAGAGATAAATGAAAAGATGTAACCCTTGCTGGTGTGACTCGGGGATTTTGGTTCACCAGCCTGTGAACCAAATGGTCGCAGCTTCGATTCCCAGTCAGGGCACATGCCTGGGTTTCGAGCCAGGTCCCCAGTACAGGGCACATGAGAGGCAACCACATATGTGATGTTTTCCTCCCACTTCCTCCCTCTCTAAAAAATAAATAAATGAAATCTTTAAAAAAATGTACGTTAAGACTGAATTGTGCATTGCACTGCCAGTTTGAGGCTTATTGCCAGCTACAGTGTCCTTTTTTTATTAGTTGAATTTAATAGTTTAATACAATAAGCAGGTTCACTTCTGTGGCTGCATGCACTGGAGAGAAAGGGGTTCACTCCTGTTTGAGTTTGATCACTGTAATCATGTTTGAGTTTTGATTGAAATGTCAGTAACATCCTGTACTTCCTGTGTTACCCTTGTGATTTTATAAGTGACATTTTCAGTCAACCAAGTAAAATAGCATGGCAGATTAAATAAAACATCAAACTAATTACAGTTGGATGCATTCTAAACATCTGCTTTTGAAACAGTAATTTAATATCTTGGATATCAAATAATTTTTACATGCTGATCTTAATGTGTGTCATTGATGTCCTCCTAGACTAATGTTTTTTCTCTATTTCTTCATAGAATTTCAAAAATATTTATTTATATCTTTCAAAATGGAGGCACATAATTAAAAATTTAAATAGTACAGACAGGTATGAAGATAAGAGTGTAGATTCTTTGTACCTACTAACACACATGCTAACCTCGAATTCTTTTTCAAACGGTGTGACTACTCTTTCTGTTTTCTTTTGTACCTATATAGGAATCAAAAACAACAATAACAAGCCCTGGCTGGTGTAGCTCAGTGGATTGAGCGTGGGCCTGCGAACCAGAGTATCGCGGTTCGATTCCCAGTCAGGGCACATGCCTGGGTTGCAGGCCAGTTCCCAGCAGGGGACTCATGAGAGGCAACCATACATTGATATTTCTCTCCTTCCCTTCCCCTCTAAAAATAAATAAATAAAATCTTTAAAAAAACCAACAATAACAAAAAAAGCTAAAAAACCCTAATGTTCTTTATGCACATATTTACACATACATCATACATACATACATACATGTGTCCAAGTGGGTTCACATTTTATTTCTTCTGTGTCTTGCTTTTTTGCACTCAAGTGTATCTTGGAGATTGAGATCTTGTCATTGTTTTTGGTGGTGCACAGTATTTCCTCTGTGAATGTATCATAATTTATTTTAAAAATGTCTTACTGTAAACATTTAGGTGATTTTTATTTTTGTTATTATACACAATATTACAACCAATGATCTTTCATATATCTTGGCATGTTTTTACAGTTGGTTGGTTCATAGATAAAATTTTACCAGTAGAATTGTCCCAAAGAATATGTGCATTTAAATTTTTGATAAGCCTTTTATATCATCCTCTAAAGAAATCATCCCAATTTATACTTTCTATGACAGCATCTATGAGAGTGCCTCTTTCGCCTTAAAATTTGTGACATCTTTGTTTTCTAAAACCTACTGAGTGGATGAACTTCACTTGCCACACTGGTCTTTATGGCGCTGCTGTAGGCTTGAAGTCAAGTGCTTCGCTGTCCTGTTAGACCTCTTAACATACACTTTCTCACAGCATCCAAAACAAACGCAAGTGTTATTTTTGGTGCCCTTTGCCCACCTTTTCCACCCACCACCTTTAGAATTGACTGGGATATGATAAGAAGGAAACTAAGCTTTCTGTTTTCTTCCAAGGTGATTTCATAGATGTTTGTTGTATACATGGGTGCTCTGGGCATAAAAAGTGTATGTAGGCTATAAAATTTCAAATTTCTTAAAATGCAGCTTTCTCAAATATGAAGTTTTATTTGTCTATACAAGTATAGAGTATGTGGTCTCTAACTGTGTATTTAAATATCTGATAATGAAAAAATGTTAGCAACCATTCTTCCTCTCCCTCTGAATGCCTCAAAATCTATGAATCTGTATGTGACTGGTGAATTATGAGTTTTGATAAATGGAAATGCAAGACATTGTATATTGTCTAAAGGGCTTAGTATGCTGAATGAAACAGCAGTAACTTATCTAGAGTAATGCAGTACAACTAAGTACTTAAGCGTATTAGTGCTCTAAGGCACATTCAACCTTCAGGAAAAGGTGGAATCATTCAGGGCTTGTGTCTGACCTTGAAGGATAAAAAGTAAGATGTACATGTTTAATGCTTTTATTTATTTAATAAGTAAAATATTTATTTATGCATATTTTATTCTGTTGTAACACATGGCTCTTAAATCTAACTTGGCAAAATCTTATATGAGAGAATACAACTTATTTGCATTTTAACATCCAGGTGCTCTCTCTAGGCAACTAAACTTAAGAGGTAAGAAAGTTGAAGGGTATAGCAGGGATCGTCTGGGCCAAGGAGCAGCAAGAGCAAAGGTACGGGGTTGAAAGCAGATATGACATATGTGATATATGATGAGATTATAATGACTTGAGCAGATGTTGCTCTTGGCAGTTTTGTAAAATGAGTGTTGGGCTGTGGGATAAGAATATTTGCATTTTAATTTTTGGCTCTCGTGATCATTAGTTCTCTGACCAAGGACAAGTCCTTCACCAAATTGGGAGCTCAGCTTCTTTTTTTGTAGAACAAGACTCTTAAATGAGAAGATCTTTAAGGGTCTTTCCATTTCAATAACTCTGAGCTATGGTACACATGAGATAGTAAGATGACTAGGGTGGATCTGGGTGGTTGAGCTTAGAGAGCCTTGAAGGCAGAGCAGGTGAAGTTGTACTTGATATTGTAGCAGCTGTAC